GGGGGGGGGGCGGGGGGGCGACATCTAAATTATACAAAGGACATGAGGAGTTGGCAACAGGATCTGGGCAGGTTATGTGAGCGGGTGAATATTTGGAATACGATGTTGGAAGGTGGAAATCTGTCGCAATTTAGCGAAGGAACAGAGTGGAGGCAGGTTATTTCAATGGAAAGAGATTGCAGAGCCCTGAGGTACAGAGGGATCTCAGAATCCTGGTTCAGGGATGGCCTTAAAGTTAATACAGAGTTGCAGCAAGTGATTCAGAAGGCATTGGGAATATATATTGCAAGGGGAATAGAATCTAACATGAAGAATGTTTCACTACAGTTGCACAGGGAGGGAATTCCTAGAGGCATGGTTCTCCACCCATAATGCAAACAACAAACATATAGAATTGGACCCCATACAGATCAAAACCGGAAATGACGTTACTCACCATAACGCAGAATAGAATAACATCGCTTCATCAGAGGCTCCACTGATGAAGTTACCTAGCATGGCGACGAAACGTCTGAACAAGAACAAGCCAGCTCGGCGAGCAAGTCAATAACCTCACCCACGACCCGAGCTACGGATCTTTGCCGAAACTTTAAACGTTACAATTAAAGAAGCCTGTAATCTAACCAGTGGTGTGCCCCAGGGATCGGTGCTGGGTCCGCTGTAGTTTGACATTTATACAAAATGATTTGGGTGAGAATATAGAAGGCGCGGTTAGTAAGTTTGTGGATGACACGGAGACTGGTGCGCGAGTGCACAGCGAAGAGGGTTATCTGAGATTACAAGGAAATTTTGATCAACTGGGTCAATGGGTTGAAGAGTGGCAGATGGAGTTTAATCTGGATAAATGCGAGGTGCTACATTTTGGGAAAACAAACAAGGACAGGAGTTGTACAGTTAATGGTAGGGCCCTGGGTAGAGCAGAGGGACCTCGGGGTGCAGGTACATAATGCTTTGAAGTTTGCGTCACATACAGACAGGGTGGCTAAGAAGGTGTTTAGCACATTTGCCTTCGTTGCTCAGACCTTTGAGTGTAGGAGTTGGGTCGTCATGTTGAGGTTGTACAGGACGTTGGTGCAGAATGTTTGAACGTGTTTTAAGGCAGAGCTAGATAGATTCTCGATGACCAAGAGGATGGAAGGTTATCAGGGGAATGTGGAATTATGGTTAAAGTCAGGTCAGCCGCGATTGGATTGAATGGGAGAGCAGGCTCTAAAGGGCCGAAGGGTTTTAACTTTGCTCCCCCGTTCGTCCATCTCGAGGTCGTGGCTCCATCCAATGTCTAACCTTCTCTCCCCGTTGCCCCTCTCCCGTGCCCCTACCCAGGTGTTCCCGCGGCGACAGCTGCCCCACGGCGCCCCCCAGCGCCCAGTGACGGGCCCCACCTCCTGCTACCCCCCCGCGACCTGGTGGCGAATCGGACGGCGCGCGGTGTGGTGCTGCGATGGAGCGCTCCCCCCTCCCCCTCCCGCCTCCCCCTGGCCTACGTGCTGGAGTTCCGCCACAGAGGGGCCTGGGCCGTACTGCACAGCGCGATCCCAGCCCAGGAGGACCAGCTGCTGCTGATGGGGCTTGTCAAGGTGAGGGGTTCAAAGGGTCGTGTGTGGATGTGGGTGGGGGTGCGGGGATAAGTGGGGGGGGGTGGTAGAGAGAGAGGGAGAGGAAGAGAACAAAGAAAGAGAGACTGAAGGGAGAGACATAAGAGTCCGGGCGAGAGAGTGAGAGAGAAACTCTTCAGGAAAGAGGGAGTGAGAGAGAGAGAAACTCTTGAGGAAAGAGAGAGAGTGAGAGAGTGAGAAACTCTTGAGGAAAGAGAGTGAGAGAGAAAGAAACTCTTGAGGAAAGAGAGAGTCAGAAAGAAAGAAAAACTCTTCAGGAAAGAGTGAGGGAGAGAGAAACTCTTGAGGAAAGAGTGAGGGAGAGAAAAACTCTTGAGGAAGGAGAGAGTGAGAGAGAGAGAAATGCTTGAGGAAAGAGAGACTGAGAGAGAGAGAAACTCTTGAGGAAAGAGAGACTGAGAGAGAGAGAAATGCTTGAGGAAAGAGAGTGAGAGAGAAAGAAACTCTTGAGGAAAGAGAGAGTCAGAAAGAAAGAAAAACTCTTCAGGAAAGAGTGAGGGAGAGAGAAACTCTTGAGGAAAGAGTGAGGGAGAGAAAAACTCTTGAGGAAGGAGAGAGTGAGAGAGAGAGAAATGCTTGAGGAAAGAGAGACTGAGAGAGAGAGTAACTCTTGAGGAAAGAGAGAGAGAGAGATTGAGAGAGAGAGAAACTCTTGAGGAGAGAGAAAGAGAAAGAAACTCTTGAGGAAAGGGGGAGTGAGAGAGAAATGCTTGAGGAAAGAGCGAGTGAGCGAGGAAGAAACTCTTGAGGAAAGAGAGAATGAGAGGGAGAATCTCTTGAGGAAATAGAGAGAGAGAGAGAGAAACTCTTGAGGAAAGAGAC